AACTCGGACAAAACAGTCAGGCGTTTTGTTTTGTTGTTTTGCTGCTCTTGTAATAAACATGACGTTAAACCTTTGGTTTCCTCTCCAGTGCTAGCTCCCACACATAAAGCCAAAGAAAAAATGTTTAAGTTAGCAGAACCATTTCAGCAAAAGATGGAGGGTGAGGAGGAACTAATGTAAAAGAGACAGACAACAGACAAAGGCAGTAAACAGAATTAATAAATGACAGCTACAGAACAAGCTAAGGAGAGATAGTGTGAGTGGGAAGCAGACAGAGAGAGGAAGATTATTTGTGTTGGGTTGTATAATGTGAGCTGTTGTGCTGTGGTTGCAAGATGTCACATCTTAGTCATCCCCAGAAAGCCTTACTGAACATTGGAAGCTTGGTTAGAAAAATCTATTTGTCATTGCAGGATGAGGATTTTGCTCAGGATGCAATATTACATTTCATTCAGTGCGCGAAAATGGATGAAACATAACAAAAGCAAAATAAATAGGCTTTTGGACTCAGATTATTTTGCCTCTTATCAGTTGTTACATTTGAATGGTGCCTGTTTATGCCCCCTGAAGGAAAGAAAATGTTCTGCATAACTGCTGTTCTGCATAACACAACCAAAACAACACAGAATAACACACACAAAAAAGTCCATATCTTGGAGCATGCATTTGTTAAATTGAAATGCATTCTTCCATTAATTCACATATTGATCGGTTGCAAAAAAAGGGGGAATAAATTACTCTTTGAATTCAGAGTTTTGCTCATAATAGGAAATCATTCATCAGCTGCCTCTCTCCCTCTGGGCCTGTGTTACAGCAAACTAACAGCTCTCACCAAGGAATTAAAAACTGATTCTCTCCACCTTCGTTCACAGCACTTATCAATTATCACCAGCCAATATTTTCTGCCACAATACCATTTGTTATACCAATAAATTCACCATGGAATGTTTCCACTCTGAGTTAGAGAGGAAACAAAGGGAGGGTTGGGCAAATACAAAATTTCACTTACAGGAGCATAACAAAGAGATTTCATTACAAAAATACAATTTCGATAAGAAAACTGCTCTATGGTACAATAATTGAAAGACTGGGAAAAAGCATCAAGGCATCCTGACTACCATGAGCACTATCTCAGATTGGAGATTTAAAACTCAGCATCCCAGTGCAGTCAGTGTTGTCATTCCACAAGTCAAACCCCTGGCTTATTGAAACAAGCTTTTAAATATGCCATGAGTTAGTTACAGATTCTTTAGAAGCTGCTGCTGCTCTGAACACGTGTTTGATGGGTCACTTGAGAGGCGCAGGGTGGGGGAGTGTGGGGCTAGTACAGGATATGGACAGAGAAAGGAACAATAGATTTTGTGATGATATGAGTCCCAGAGCTTGAGAAGCTTCTGCAGATTAATTGATAGTGAAATAATGAGAGCTTTTAAACACCCTGAGGACTCTCCCTCTCTCATATGCTTTTATTAGCTTCAGGATGTCTTTCTCTCTGCCCCGATCTTCCAACAATCTTTATTCATCTCTGTTTCTCTCTACCTTTTGACTGTGACTGGGTGTGCTCTCCAATTACCAGTTACTCTACTTTAGGACAGAGAGAGAGAGATTAAAGCATTTGTCCGCAGGAAAGATAAAATAGTTCAGCAGAAATGTCAAGCTTACAGCTAGAATTCAAGGAAGACAAAATGGTGAAAACTGTATGAAAATGTACTGTATATTCCAACTATCAATGGTTTTTTTTGTTGTCCCAGGCCAAATATTGTTCTACCCCTCAAAGGACAGTTCCCACTAAATACAACCTGGATCTTACTGTAGTTTTGCAAGTTTGTTGCAAAACCACAGTAGTCGCAAGCTGTCCTTGCTGTTTTTTCCTCCATCAGACTCCATTGTAGCAATTGCACCATGTTCCCAGATCTCAACAATCATTTCAATCAATACAGTTATATCATAACCCATACAAATGATGGCCAAAGGTGAAAAAAAATAATAATAATAATAATAAGACCCAAGCTGTGATAAACTACAATTTACCTTGAGGAAATGAGAATATTTCAAATGCTCAATAGTTGATTAAATATTACACATCATTTCAAATACACAGAGAACTCCTATTCATCAGACTTTTAATACAACTGTTAATAATTGCACTGAAAATGAAATGCCATGTGAAAGGGGTCCACAAACAAAAGTGTCTCATAAAAAGCAAACACACTCATGCAGAGGACGGGCCGCACGTTAGCCACTAGAAACCTCACTTCCCACACATAACTTGCCAAAGGCTAATTCACTTATATCTTCAGTGACTTGCCAAGGTAACACCCATGGACTACCTAACCAAATAAATGATGGGAGAGGCATAAACAAATTAGAGCTAACCCCAGATGAAGCTTGGGGCTGGAGGAATTGTAGCAGCAGGACACTGAGCACTGCAGTAGGAAGACAGATGATCTCGGAGAGGGGAAGGGAGCTCCAACTGAACCTGCAGTCCCTGGAAACTTTTCCTAATTGACTTTGTGTATTTGGACTAAACAGAGGTATGTGGAGGATATGAATGAGGTACGATGGTGTTTATTCAGGTGCCCACAGTTTTGTAAGGCAGTCAATTTGCTGGCTACAGAAATAAATTTCTGTAGATAACACAAACAAAGGGACACATTTGCAGAGAAGCATAGCAGGCTTAATGGCCAGATCCTCATTCTCTCAAAAGGAACTGGCCAGAGTAATACTTCATACACCAAAGCCTGGTGCAAAAACATGTAGAAAACTGTTTTCTCTCCCAAACCTTCCCTTCCATGTGACCTCATGCGTAAAAAACTAAGCATGTACACAATCAACGGAGTTTAAGTGGTTCCGGTTTATTCTTATATTCAAGAAAGATTTGCACCAGATTGACTCAGAGCATGTGTAAAGCACATGTGAAATTCAGAGTGGACCCAGAGACTTCACAAGTCTTTCTCTTTCACTGGGAGATTCCAAAGTGTTTTGCACTTTCACAAGAGCTAAAGATTTTTAAGTGTTGGTAAACTGGATCAATAATCTAGGCTGTCTATCATCAAACATTAAGTTCGTCGTCCGCCTGCAGACAGATTTAGTGCTTGGCTGAGTTGTTGCTGCCATCTGCAACAGTGCTAGAGACTGACGCATCTCTGGTGATGGCCACGATATGCTCATAGGTTTGGCAGAGCACAGCAGCAGCTGTTCTCCTGGCCTCCTCCAGCAGCTTTCACAAGTTCCTTTTCAGTAAATCAAACTCCTTTCTTTTAACTTGTAATGTGGATCTCTTGGTGGATGTAACATCAATCACCCTCTCTGTGTTCTCCGTCCATATGTCATATTTTTACTGAGGCTCTAATGCCTGTGCTTGTTTTAAAATAGAAGGCTTTTTTTTTTAAATGATGCTCAGTACTACCATTATATCTGCATCAACTCAGTTATTTTGCCTTTATCTTTCTTTAAATGTCCACTTGGTTTCAAAGATTATGTGTGTTTCCCAACAGCCTAATATGGCATCTCTGAGGTGGAGCAATTATGTTAATTGATGATAATTAAGGTCGCATGAATATGCCTTGCATTTATGACTGATTAGAATTCATCAACATATGCATTAATATAATTGACAACAGATGCCTCTGAACGTTTGATGAATTTAGTTTTTAACGTTTTTAATTTGCAATTAAGATCACTAATGTATGAATGTTTTGTGAATGACATCCAGTGCTTGTCTTTACATCTCTAGCTAACCTTACATGCTAAACTTCCCATCTTCTCTCCTCTTTTACAGGAATATTTTAACAGTTGTTGAGAGGATTGATACAAGTTACATGAGAAGATTGATACTACTCTCAACTCTGTAGAGGAAAACTGAAGCTACTGTATGGGAGCATTTAGATGTTAAAGGAGTTTTTCACCAAAATGGGAGGGTCAGATTAGGACAGGGAGACTGAATGTGGGTTTACATTATACTGCTCACAGCAAGTAGTTCTGGGTTCGGACCACATTCTATGTGGGGTTTGCATGTTCTCCTTGTTCCTGCATGGGTTCCCTCTCGGTACTCTGGCTTCCTACGACAATCCGAACACATGCACATTAAATTAACTGGCAATTCTGAAATGCCCATAGGTGTTAATGTGAGTGTGACTGGTTGTTCATCTCTATATGTCAGCCCTGTGATAGGCTGGCGACCCTGCCCTCGCCCAATGTCAGCTGGGATTTGCTCCAGCCCCCCTATGACCCTACAGCTAATGAATGGATGGATGTAATTTAACAAGGCGCTTTAGCTAATATTAGCATCATTAACCACCAAGTAACTGATAGTAACAGGCACTTAGGGCTAACAACACAAACTACTGCATTTCCTGAACATCAACATAACAGTCTGTGTAACAGTTAACTGTACAGTCCACTTACTTTCTGTCATTGTTGCACACAAGTAAGGTTTGCCTGCATGTAGGGAGGACAATTTTTGGAATTATAAATTAAACAAACTAGCATGAGTCTGTGATAGCTAGCCAAGCCAGACAGCAGGGCAACCGACTAACCATTTGTTTTATCTGTACAGAAATACAAATAAAACAACACTGCAACAGGTCTTGTTTACACTTCGGTTTCTATACCGATGAAACACTTAAGATATTAGCTAGCCTGGATAGAGCCAGGCTAACTGTTCCTCCCTGATTCCAGTCTTTGTGCCAAGCTAAGCTAACCAATTACTGGCTTTACATTTATATTTGCAGTACAGACAGTGGTCTCAACCTTGTCCTCTAAATCTTGGCAGGAAACAAATAAGTTTATCCAAACAAAATGTTGAACTAAAAAAAATGTTGTAAATCCTCTTATTCACCCACAGGCAATGTTATTTAATCAAGTCTATATTATGTCCAGTTATACTAAATTACAGTAACCTTTTCAGTCTTAAATGAAGCATAACCTTTTCAATTCTGATGAAGTGTAAACAAAAAAACTGATTAAACACAAACACATACACAGAATTTTCTACTCACCCTTAGAGTGTGCTGTGACTGAACCGGCAGTCCAATGATTTCCACCTGTGCCATGTCATCTGTATGTGCACTGACCCCATGGATGAAGAGGACTGGCCCGCTGTACAGGACGTCCTGATGTGGAACCAAATTCAGATCCCCGTCCACCTGGAAGCTGGGGTCCGACACCTCAAACGTTACGTCTTCGTTCCCCGCACAGTCATCAAACTCCACTGGAAGAAACACACAGAATGGGTAGATGTTATGCCTTCACTGTAAACAAAATACAACAGAAATAACAACAGAAATGTCAAGAAAAATCTGCCATATGACACATTCTCACTATAATATGCACTGCACTGTAAAGAAGAATTTGAGGAATTGCAAAATGATCCACAAAAACAAGTGTTTCACAGATATAAACGAAAGCCCTGAAGATAAGCAGATACCACGAAGGAAGAGTAGAATATTCTGAATGGCTCCATCAGCTAGGCTACAATAAAAGTCAGTTATCTTTACTCACACAAACCTGCTGCAATATTTATGACCCACTGCATAACTTGCTGTGCATTGTATACGTATTAATGTGTCTGACTTGCTCTTGCAGGACTGTTGCTTTTGGTACAGAGAATGCTGTGGCACCCACTTGCTAGAGGACCAGGGCTAGAGGAGGAGGAAAGGATTTAAGGTACAGGAGAAGAAAAGTGTCACCTTTAAGTAATGTGCATGTGACGTGTGCACATGTGAGCTTGTCTTTTCTGACTGAGGGAGATATCGCCAAGGACTCTACCAGGCTTTATCCCCTCTGATCATGTTCATCCTCTCTTTATCTCTCTCGCACACTCCCCTTGGTGTCGCAACATGATCCCCATGTCTTTCCCCATCCTCAGCCCTGACAATCCTCCCCTTCCTCATCCTTCGCCTCCTCCTTACCTCAGCCTCCCATGATACTTCATGCTGTTGGGTCCCGGAGTAAGTGGATGTGTACATGTGCTGTTCATTACCAAAGCAAGTGCAACAGGAATCACATGGGACTGTACGACTTTCAGTGTGGGTCTGTAAGTGCAAAATAATTTCAAGCCTCCAAGTTCCTGCCACGGACATATGGTGGCCTATATAAGTCTTCATTATTTATTTTTGAGTATTTTTGAGAATTCTGTTTGAAATCAAATATTTCCTGCAAATTGAAACATGATGTAAAGGATATTCCATATGGACATCATTATTAATGTTAATGTAACACTGACAACTTGGTGATTTCTCATGACCAGGTGAAGGAAATTCTTCACAAACGATCTGAATGTCTCTCTTTCCTGTTCACAGTGCGACTGAGAGGTCATCTTTGAGTACCTTGTGGATCAGTGGTGTCTCTCTGAGTATAAAGCACAGTTCACATACACAGTACAAAGACTGCGAGCTTTCTCTGCTGAACCAGCTCTTTAAAACTTAAAACCAATATACTGTAAATGTCTTGATGATCAAATGGTCACTGCCTTACAAATACAATGTATTTTAATGTATTGCAATACAAATAGTTTATATATGCACAAATAGTCTGACCTACAGTTTTCCTGTAAAAATGCAGGATCAATATTAGTGGATGGCAACCAAACAAAGTATTGTATTTGTGAAAAAACAGCCAAAAATATTATTTTAAAACTGTTTTCAGGGAATACTTGCTCTTTAAAGTTACCATCCTTAAGAATTTCATGAAACAAAACCCAATTTCTCATACTATTTGTTTTCAACAACAGTCAGTTAATGAATTTATTATGTAATTACGTGTCTTAATTGTAGTTTCTATTCTTTCTGGTGGACTCTTACACATGAGGGATTTACACGAAAAGATGCATGGATGCAGCAATACTTTTACAAATCACATTGATATCAATGTCACTGTTTATTCTAACAGTATGAGAGCTGTATTAAGTTACTGCTAATGCAAACAAACCATTTCCTGCTGCTGCTGCTGCTGCTGCTTCACATTAAATGCACTACATTGGTATAACACTGGGTGGCTTTAATTGTGAAGCAGTCATATGAAATGCAATGTTTTTACTACTGACTCAAAAATGCATTAACTGGAGCTGCTGCTGAGGGGTTTCATTACTCCAACTTCTAAGCAAAGTAACAAACTTCACTGTGTCCTGCTGTTGTGTATAAAATTACTTGCACAGCATGCAGCATGATATCCAATATCCCAGTTTCATAAAAAAAATAAAAATAATAAGGCAATTATTAGTTGACTTAATTATTATTGTTATTAAATGTTTGAATGTTTTTGGCTGCAATGTAAACTTTTCTGACAAAGTAGCTGTTCAAGTTTGCAACTTTACTTATCCAACTACATCTGATTTTATTGATCAGCGTTAATGCAAGACAGTCAAGGCGAGGGTATTCAGTTGAGCCAGTTAGTGCATTAACACAAAGCCGACCTTTACGTGATTTTAACTTTTAATTCATCTTCCCCAAAAACATTTTAACTACCCACTTGCTCTCATTTCCATGTCTACTTACCCCTCCACTCTTCCCATCATTTTACCATGTAGAGACAAGGGCTGCATGTCTGATTTAAACGCAATCCATACACGTCTATCTCCCATCATGCCAGCACACAAGAGAAATGGGAATCAAGTCCATGGTTAGTGCTGCTCTCACTATAAAATCAATAGACTGAAGTCTATCAAAGCTCTCATTTAGTGCACTTAACCTTTGTGACTGTTTAGTCTGGCTTCTTTTATCATTCTCACTGCAGACATTTTAAGATCTTCCCTCTGGACAGAATCATTTTCTGCCATCTGGGTGAGGGGATGAAAAGAATAACGGAGTGAAGAATAGGGGGAGGGGAGAAAAAACAAGGGAAAGGACAATCATAAAAAAGAAAATGGCCGGAAAGGCAAGGCTACAATGAGCACTGAGTAAGAGCTACAAAGTCAACAACCTACTCTCGAAGAAAACAAGGCTCCATCTCAATGTTTAACTCTCACTTCTAAGCCAAAGTATGAAAGATGTGTTCATTTCCATTCCCATTACAAGCCTCAGATTTATTTCAATAACATGGGCGCGCTCATTAGAGCCTGCAAATTGCTGCGCCAAACAGTGTCAGTGGCATTTCAAAGGCAGCCGGAGAGTGTTTGATGGTATTCTAATGTTGTAAGGTTTTGGGGAATTTCAGAAGAGAGCATGGTGAGCTGGCGGCTTTGAAGTCAGGCAACAATGACAGAACGCAAGTTACCCCCGCTCACCACCAGCACCACCACGCACCCACTTTCTTTCTTCAGAGTGCTGGCTCAGGGTTGAAACAACTTTGCACAACATGGATTAGGGTCTCCAAAATCCCTCACTGATGCCTCAGGAGGAGAAGGAGGGTGGGGGTGCAACTTCTTCCTCAAGATTGACATTCAAGTTCCTTTCAGTCCAGAACCTCCCGTAGAGCCTGTGAATAGCAAATGTACCAGAAACTCGGACACACAGGGCCATGGTTATTTAAGGCTTGATTGCCTATTCCGTCAGCTTTCTTAGCACCAAAAACACCACTTCAAAGTTCTAATTTAAGCTTTTAGAAAAAAATGTATACACGACGTGTTTAGTAATTACAAGTGAGAATTAAATTCAGAAACAAAATTGAATTTACAGAACAATCTACACCTTTCTTTTTGCACATTTTGTGTCTTACAAATTACATGCAACATCCAGCGATGTCTGTCAGAAATGTAACATAAAATCCTTCCATGAAGATAAATAACTTTCTGCATCAAGAACTAAATGTAAGCTTTATACTCAGTCACATCAGTTACGTTCTACAAGATCAAACATAAAATGTTCATCAGTAATGAAAACAAAGCACCTACACACAAATATTCAATCATGTTTTCTGCATCTCAAAGATTAAGAAACATACTGCGACAGCAAACATTATCCATGTGTATTTACATTGGCTCCACTCTTTTTGTCAGCCCATAAATTAGATTTTTTTTCCCTCCTTTGTCAGGTACTGAAGTTTTCCTCTGAGGTGTTTTGAAGACAATTTTCTCTCTTGTAACTAAATGTCAAGTCTCCATGATGGGAGAGATGGGAATCAGAGCAGTAATCTCAAAGGTGGTAGCACGGGTGTGTTTGAGCTGATAGCTGCCGTGTCTAACCAGACAGAGTGTGCTCAGCCTCGTAAAAAAGGCTCAGGAGAACACCATTCTCAAATAATCACCTGGCATAAGAGAGGAAACTGCTTTTAAAAATGTATTTACACCCTGAATTGCATTTTACCCAAGAGTTTCCGATCACAGGGCATTGTATAAGACCCATTACTGGGATTCAATGGTAACAAGGCTTGGGCTATTCATCTAAGAAGATAACAGTTTGACAGATTTTGCCAACTAGGGGGGTCTTGCTGGCAGAATCATTCATCTTGGGTTTAACGCATGACTAAGACCCCCTACCTCCACCTTTACTGCCACTCCAACCAATCCCAATTTGTCAGATGTAGGATTGTTAATCATCAGGTGAAACAGGGCAGTGTATAGAATCTGAGTTGCTAGCCAACCAAATGGTATTTTTCATGTCACTCAGAGCAGGGGAACTGTATATATTGCATTTGTCAGTGTAATTGTGGTCTGTGCATACTAACATTTATGCATGCAGGACTGCAGGTATGATATACGTGTCCAATGGTAAATTGTGTCACATTTAGCAAACCCTATTGTACAAAAAACATAGAGGACATCCAGAAACTGAAATCAATTCCACCCTGGTGACAGTGTAAAGAAACCACTTTGTTTGAGAAACAAATGTGATGATGCCTTGAAGAGGAAAATGTAAAACAAAATTTAGTTTCCTGTGCTCTTCCAGAACATTATTTGTGGCTGTATTATTCTGAAATGTACACCAAACTCCGAAAGGAAAACAGAGAAAACGTCCTGACAAGATGTTGGATCAACCAAGATTTGTAAAGTGTAAGCATCAGTTGAACTTTGACCCCCTGTGACCTACTGTTACAAATAACACCACTCTCATGACAAAATGTTGCTAATGAATCTATCTGCAAGTCTTTATGTTTATGTTGAGAATATGTAAAAGAAACCACAAAAGAAACCAACCCTTAGCCTTAGTTTCATTCCTTTAACCTACATGGGGACCGCTTTGTATGACCAGCATCACTCCAACCACCTCCCTGCAAATGACAAAAACGTAGCACCTTCTTCACTCAAAACACATTGCGAGGGAACAATATCGAGAC